GATAGCCTTAATTGTATTAAAAAAGAAGAGAAATAATGAGAGTCACTGGTGTAGTGCTGTAAAACTCAAAAGCACTGATTTATGTAAGGTTCACACACAGGGCCACACGAGCAAGCAGTGCACGAAGGGCATCTTGCGTTCTTCCTCAGTCTTCCACTCATTCGCTTCCTTCCTAGGCAGCTCTCAGCCCAGTTTAGTTTCCTCAATCCATTCTCCTAGTCACTGGGGAGGAAGTGACGCCTACTCTGGGGTGTACATTTGGCTCTGACCCTGTGGCACCCATTACCTGAGCAGGATGGGAGGAGGCCCGGCTGATACTGAGAGTATCACTTGCTTTGCTGTCCTCATCCCAGACTCTGCAGGTCCCTGTCTGCAGCTGGTGCAGCTGATCCCCAGCCCTCCCTCTGCGCTCCTCCCCACCAGGGCCTGAGAGCTGGGCCTAAGGGATCCAGGCTCACTCCTGTGGGAATCCCAGGCTTTGGAGGTTTCAAGGGTGGAGCTGGAAGTGGGGACCGTGATGTTCACTATTATTACTTTACTGAACAAATTAAGCTTTTTGGAGACTACAGTAACATTTCTGGTTTGTGATGAGGACTTTTTTTACTTCTTCATACTGTTTTTTGGTTATGTTCTCTTGTTATTTAACCATTATTTTTTGGTTATCGATAAGGTTAACCATCTTTTTACATGTCTGAGAACTTGTATTTATGTCTAGATATAATAGCCTCATATCATAATTGTAAAACCACCGATTTTGTGAAAGATATGCACATCTGATCTAAATTTAAGGGGCACATGGCCCTTGGTGTGATCTTAGAGATGCTGTTTTTGAACATAAAACACCTCATTGTTCATGGTTTATTTATTAAAAAATACTTACCTTTGATTCCTTCTTTCTTTTTTCCTAGAAATTTTAATATAGTATTTTAAAATCAGCTTCATATAGAGACACAATTTGTCCCTGTTACACTTTGGGACATCAGAACATGTCAAGTAAAAATCTGTGGAGAAAGAAATTTTGAATTGTTTGTTTATAAAGCTGCTATGATTAAACCTCTAAGTAGATCAGCCTGAGAGAGGAAAGCTAAATTAATGTCTTAATGTTTTTATGAATTGGCAAATATACAAAGGAGAGCTCTTGTTGATGGCTTGTGAATTGATGCTACATTCTCTATGGCATGAACAATATCTGGGGTAGGAATGTGATTAACTGTCAGCAGAAGAAAACCCAACTTCCTTTGGCTGAAGCACAGGGATTTATTTCCCCATGACAACAATACATTGTGAGTCAAGTGCAGCACTTTTGTGATTGGCTTAGTTTTCCATAGATACTGATTCCACCACAGACCGATATGTCTACTATTTCTCTAGAAATCATATTTTATTTCAAGGAAGGAAAGGAGGGCACGGGACAACCACATATACATCATTACTGAGGAAAGGAAAGATTTTCTACACATCTATACACTTGTTGGCACAAACAGACTTTTGCCCAAGCCCCAGAAGTATTTTTTACTCAAATGTTGGCTGGATTCTAGCACAGAGTAGGAAAAAACTCTGTCTTGCACCATATCTGCTCAGTTTCTGGATCTCACTGCATCTGTGACAGTTTGTCCCTCCCAAGGCTGGCCCATCACATATGGCATCTGCCTTAGTCACTTTCTCTTTGCTGGGACAAAATATCTGATACAACTTAAAGGAGAAGAGCTTTATTTTGACTCACAGTTTTAGAAGTTTCAGTCCATGGTCAACTGGCTCAAACACACACACAGCATGGTGGAAGGGACTGGGCAGAGGAAGGCTGCTCATGTCATGGTGACCAGGAAGGAGAGGGCAAAGGAAGGAGGTAGAGAAATAAACCCTTCTGGTTAACACCTCCAATGAAGAGTCCTCATCCTCTGGTCAGGTGAGGTTTTGAGGGGACATTCTTTTTTTTTTTTTAAGAGTAGGAAAAATTTATTGAGAGAAAGAAATCTTCTGTCTAAGAGAGACAGAAAGGGGACCAGAAAGTGGGTTGCTCCTTGAGGGGACATTGTTGATCTAAACCATAGCAGTATCTCTCTGCTTCTTGACTCAGGGATATGTCTTAAACCATACCAGATTACTCATCAGCATCAGCATATGTGGAGGGATATAAACCACATCGGCAAACTTAGCTGGTGGAGAAGTGGAGTTGAAAAAAGACTTATCCACTTGGAATTCTTCCTACAGAGGAAGAATTCTACAGAGGAAGAACTTGAGTCTGCAAGTTCATTATGATCCCCTGTAAGATTGAGTTCAGTTTCACGAAGTGTAAACCAGATAAGCAATTCATTCATTCCTACATTTTCCCCATCTATATGTCATTCTTCTTGTGAGAACTCTGCTTTGGGATGACTACTTTCAAAAAGTTTAGTACTATACAATATGACAGAACAATTCCCACAGAATTGATGTCATTTCAGACACTATCCAAAAGGTCAGTGGTCTCCATGACCACTCCTCTTTTAGACTAACTGGTCACAAATTTTTGACCCTCCTACAGTTACCCTCAGGTTTGATAACATTATATCTAGAAGAACTCTGGTGTACGGACCAAATGTTGAAATCGTACAGTCCAACATAGTAGTATTAATAGGAGGAAACTTTAGGTGGCAATAAAAATTAGATAAGGCCTTACGGCTGGAGCCCTAATGAGTGGCATTTGTAATCTTTTATGTGTGAGAAGAGACCTTGCTTCATTTCTGCTCTCTGGCACTCCAAGATAACACTGACAAGTTGGCAGTGTGTAACTGGAAGAGAGCCTCCTTCAGAGGGCTAAGAGTGTGGCCCAGTGACTGATTGGTAAGGCAGAAGCATGAATGTGAAGTAGGGGCCAAATCAGCCTTCTTATCAAAAGACAGGAATCAAGAAGGGATTATAACAGTAGTAGCACCACCAGTTGGGAGAAAGTGAAGGACACAAAAGGGAAAACTGGAAGGAGGACTTCTTAGACCCTTCAGAACTGAACTGTGGAATTGTGGGAAGAATTGTGTGAAGAAGGACTGTGAAGGTCACTCAGCAGTATCAGAGCTGCCACTCCTACTACAGCCTTGGAATATATGGGCCCCGAGGCGGGGGCAGGATTTCCTCCACCTAGTGGAGTTCTAGTGGTGGACCAGTACCTTTCACAGCAAGGCTGGCTGCTTGTACCCTCGGGGTACTAGCCCCAAAAGACTATAGATGGGCCAAATAGAGATCCACAGTGTGAACAACTCCAAGCTCAGATGTATGTGTGATGTTGCGGATAAGAAAGGTGAAACTTTTGCCCTGGTGGATCCAGAAGGCAGTGTAATGAGCCAAAGGGGATTAATCCAGAGCCTTAGTATCTTACAAGATTTCACTTTCCTACCTTTTTGACTTTCTGAGGACCCATCGTCTCTTTCGTATTTTCTGCTTCTCCTCTTTGGGGTAGGATTGACTGTCTTATATGTGCCCTTCCTTACAGGTTAGGAGCACGTAGCTTGTTTGGTTTCAGAGGCTCAGAACTGGACAAGAATTTCGTCTCATCTCATAATAAATTGTAATATGACCCTCATCTTTGTCTTTATCTACATAATATTTAGCCAAGACTTCGGACTTTAGATCCCAGAGTTGATGACAGAATGCATTAAGATTTTGAGATTGTTGACATGGAATGAATGCATTTTGAATGCAGGAGAAATATGAAACTTTGGGGGCCAGGCTGGAATATTAGGGGTTGAATGTTTGTGGCTCCCTAAAGTTTATATGTTGGAATCCTGACTGTTTGCAAAGGAAGTCATGAGGGAGCAGTCCTTTGAATGGGGTTAGACAGTTCCTTCTGCCATTTTTCTCTAATGAGAAATTGACTCACATGCGACTCTGCATGGGGCTCCCAGCCTTCGACTGGCTCCTTTGGATCTCCAGCATGCAGGCAGCTCTTCTGCACTCTTCCACTCCTGACTCTGTGGGCAGACATTGTAAGCCAATCTTGTAAATGCTTATATATTTATATATCTTGCATTTGTGGCTCTAGTAAACACTGACTGATACACCCTCAAATATATATCCCCCAAATGCATGACCTTTATTGAAGACCACCTCTCAGGAACTGTATTGCATATGGTTCACTGGAGGCACAGAATCTATGACATATACATGTAAGTGCTTACAGGATTACAGCATCAAAGGAGGGCTAGTCTGAAATAGCCATCTGTATGCTGGAGAACCACAAGGTCCAGAGTCCAGCATCTGCTTGGGGCACATTCCACAGGGTCCAGTGGCTACTGCAGTGGGCACAATTACTTTCCTTCACTGCCTGCATATCATGAAGATGTGAAATATAGTCCATGTGCTAAACCTTTTTTGGCTAACAGTTCTTTTCTTGATGCAAAGTGATCTGGTCTGCACCCCCATTCCAGTTCTCATTGAATTCTTATAGATTAGTATCATTGGTTTCCATAGAATTATTGGTGTTTCTGTTTAAAATGAATAATCATTTTAAGATTTAAGATGTGTCTGCTTCTAGATTATTTTATTGGAGGGAGAAATAGAAAGTATTGTACAGTTTCTTTTTCTAGAAAAGAAAAAATTGGAAAGCAGAAAAAAGAAAGTAATTAATGGCAGAAAGAAGTGTTTTCATGTGTCAGGAAATGTAACAGATACGGCACAATTGTGTAGAGATTTTGAGGCACAAGATGCTTTTTAAAGTCATTAATTTATTTTAGGTTCAGATTTGTGCAATTTGAACAGAAATTACAAAAGATGTCACTGTGCACATTTAAGGAAATTGCTTAAAGGAAAGGAAAATAAGAAATAAAGAAATAAGCAATTTTAATGGTGATAATATACAAGTAGATTTTTCTAGCCATTATAGGCAAATTTAAAACTGTTTGAAATATTACTTGTAAATATTTTACATGCTTCTTAGAAGCTGAATGCTGGCAATCACAGAATAATTAAATTGTGCTAACACATCTCTACTGAATGCTTGGTGTTGAATTTTAACAATTTTGATGTAATCAAAAGAACTTTTTCCCTATCGTTTTCACAGCTTCTTTGACCTCCTTGTTTCTCAAGCTGTAGATCAGAGGGTTCAACATGGGAATCACAGTGCCATAGAATACGGAGGCCACTTTCATGTTCTCCTGGGAGCGCTCAGAAGGAGGCTGTAAGTACATGTACGAGAGGGCTCCATAGAAAATGGTGACGGCTGTCAGGTGGGAGGCACAGGTGGAGAAGGTCTTCCTCCTGCCCGCAGCAGAAGACATCTTTAAGATGGCGGCCAGGATGAAGATGTAGGAGAAGATCACGACCAGCACAGTGAATGTCAAGTTAAATCCCACCAGGACAACAAGTAGCATGATGTTGATGTCAATATTGGAACAAGAGAGGGTGAGAATTGGTGGGACATCACAGAAAAAGTGGTTGATGATGTTGGACTTACAGAAGGACAAGGAAAATGTAAAACCCGTGTGTATGGAGGCATTTATTGATCCCATGAGGTATGAGCCAGCTACCAACAGGATGCACACTGTCTGGGACATGATGACGGGATAGTGAAGAGGCTTGCAGATGGCTACGTAACGGTCCACGGCCATAGCTGCCAGGAGGTAGCAGTCAGTGGTCGCAAATGTCCCATACACCAAAACCTGGATTACACATCCTCTGTACGATATGGATTTGTTTTCCACTATGAAGTTCTGGAGCATCTTAGGAGTGATAGCAGATGTGTAGCAGATGTCAACAAAAGCCAGATGTTGCAAGAAGAAGTACATGGGTGATTGGAATCTGATGTCTGTGTTGATGAGTAGGATCATCCCAGTATTACCCACCATGGACGTCATGTAGATCCCAACAAACAGGAAGAAGAGGCCAGCCTGGAGCTCTTGTTGCCCACCAAATCCCAGAAGGTAGAATTCGGTCGCCTCAGTGCCATTGCCTTGTGTCATGGCTACCAAACATCTGGATGGGATGGAGAGAAGGACCAAGAAAAAAGCAAAATCTTTCGGGCCTCCTGAAATAAATAGGTTCTTACCTTTCACGTCACTGTTTTCGATTTTGACTTTGTCTTTCCTAAAAAACACAAGGAAATTTATTATCTGGCAAATAAATTTTTCCTATTTTCTTTTTTTCAATGTATGTAACTTAAAGGATTTTTAATTTCATAATGTGAAAAATTCTGACAATATTGTGATACTTTATAATGCTTTTGGCAAATAAAATGTACAGATAAATACCAAAGAGGAACTTACGGGTTTTACAGGGCAATAACTTGAATTTGCCAAATTCTAATTTTACAAGAAGTATTGTTGAATCTGGATTAAAATTCAAGTGAGAAACTAAATTCATATTATTCCCAAAATTCAAATAGACTTATCATGACATATTGAGTGTACATGGTTCAGTAGCAACTGAAAAGCTGAAAATTTATTTAATAATTGCTCATAGCCCTCTTCCCAGTGCTACATTATGTACTTGGACTGATGGTGTTTCAGTTATGCAATAGAGGCAACTACTGTATTTCCCTGAAAATAAGACTGGATCTTATATTAATTTTTGCTCTAAAGGACACCATAGGGCTTATTTTCCAGAGATGTCTTATTTTATGTATAACAATCTGTATTTGTTCATGTACAATCTACATTTATTGATATACAAAAATTTACATTTCTGTGATCCCATTTATTGATTCGTGGCATTATTTCTTGTGCTACTGGAGTCCTATTTGTGATCACTTTTCTTGCACCCATGGCTTCAAGTGTTTCCCTCATGGTATCTGCCAGCAGTTTCAAAGTTTCTGGTTTTATATCTAGGTCTTTGATCTGTTCTGATTTGATTTAACACAGAATAAGGATAGGGGTCTAGTTTTATATTTTGCATGTGAATATCCAACTTTCCTACCAGCATTTATTAAAGAGCCTCTTTCCTCCGGTCTATGTTTCTGGCCCTTATGTTAAAAACCAAAGAGCTGTAGGTACACAGGGCTGTGTTTGTGTGTTCTGTTCTATTCCACTGGTCTCTATGTTGGTTTAAGGGCCAATACCATATTGTTTTTGTTGCTATGGCTTTTTGTATAACTTGAAATCTGTTATTTTTCATGCCTCCGGAATTGCTCTTTTTTGCTCAGGTTTGCTATAGATACTCTGTTTTGAAAAACACCACCATGATTCCATATGAATTTTAGGATTGTTGTTTCTAGTTCTGTGGAGAATGTTATTGGTGTTTTAATAAGAATTGAATTTAATAAGAATAGTATTTAATTTCAGTATTTAATAAGAATACTGAATCTGTAGATTGATTTTGGTAATTTGACCATGAAAGAGGACGATCTTTCCATTCTCTAGTGTTTTCTTTGACTTCCTCAGAATTCTGCAATTTTCATTATAGAGGTCTTTCACTTCCTTGGTTAGATTGTTGCCTAGGTATTTAAAAAGTTTTTTGAAACTATTGTGAATGAAATTGTTTTCCTGATGTCTGTCTTAGTGAGTTCATTACTGGTAGACCAAAATGCTATTGGTTTTTTTTTGGTACCGGGGATTGAACTCGGGAACTTGCGCTTACAAGGCAGGCGCTGGAACCACTGTGCTAAATCCCCGGCCCACTACTGATTTTTGTATGTTCATGTTATTTTCTTGATAAGACGCTACCACATAAACAGTGTACATGAGCCATACATTCATTTGTAATAAAGATATATCACAGACTAATTCTTTTAATGTGTGATTCTAAAAATATAAACTATTGTACTTTCCCCGCATACTAAACAATATCTATACTTGTATGAGATAACATTCAAATACGTTTGTATTTTTTCAGCAGTCTCCTACCTTTATTAGGTATTTGTTAATTTATCATTTAATCCTAGCCCAAGGTCATCAACTTAATATTAGAGCAAGAAGAATTTTCTGAGTTATATTCATGTTCTACACATTTGAGAGAAATAGGTTTGCATTTTTCCATAGGAAGTGATTATGGACTAGCTTAAAAAAATCTCATGGTTTATCATTAATATATAGTGATAGCTTATTTTAAATCATCAATGTCTTTGTTTTTCTCTGAGTGATGATATTTCTTACCTGGATAGCTGAGATGTATTAATGCATAATTTTTCTTATGTTTTAAACAATGCAATGACTCAGTTATACAATGCAATAAGGATTTTTCAAAAAAGACCTAAGTGGATGATGATATAAGAGCTGTACAAGTTTCTACCGGATAAGTTTGGTAAATGCTTATTTATCACACTCCAAAAGAATGAAGACTGAGCCAGCAATAAGGAAAGGTTGGAATCCATTGCATTTATGCTGCAGAGTCCTCCAAATGCCACTATCAACAGATGTACCATGAAAGGGCTGAGGGCAGGATTAAAAGAGCATGGATTGGCTAAGAGCCTTCTAAAGAGCAATTATTGGTTATAACCCTTGGTTAGTAGCTATAATCTAGAGCTGATGTAAGTCATCAAAGCTTCCTTGGTTTATCAGTGTGAATATAAAAATAATCACGTCACTTGTCACCTGAAAAACAGAGAAGAGAAAAAGGCCACTTGGAAGAGGTAGAAACTTCAAGAGAGAAGGGGCATCTCAGAAAACTCCCAACCTCTCACGTGTGCATGAGCGCACCTGTGTGTGTGTGTGCATGTGTGTGTACAAGTATATGTGATTGTTACTTTCACAGAAGATAAATGGAGAGTAATTATTGTAGCATACTTGAGTGATTTGAAATTGGCCCTTATGCTTATTTGGAATTATACAGTTATATAATGACTGTGTCTTTAGCAATCTTCTTAGAATTTTATGCATCTTCCACATGTAAATGATGACATAACAAAAGAAGTTGTCTACAGAGGAGCAGAACACGTCCAAAGCACATCAGTAGAGTGCTTTTTACTGTGATATCTTAGCTCAAAGTGAGCTGCACCTTTGTGGAGAAGAAGGTCAGAAGAATGTGCCCTGCCGGACGGGAGATCAGTAAACAGCCAGGTGTTGATGTTGGTTTCTGTGATTCTTCCTCACTTCCTGAGAAATGAACTTTAGTCATGGAGCCAGACACTCATGGCTCAGTGCACTAATTCGTGACAGCTGAGAAGAAACAAGTATCCACAGTCTCTTTCCTTGGGCAAGTGTGTTGAAGACAGATGCAAAGGAGGCCTTCCGGGGAAGTCCCCCAGTGTGGAGAAGCACTTTTGAGAGAAAGCTAGAGTAGGAGAGGGGTGTAATTAAAGACAGAATCTTGATAGAGTAATGATCTTTATCTCATCAGTTTACTCTAATCAGTTTTTCAAATAAAATTATATAACATGTGGGAAAAGTTTTCAAGTGCTGAAGACACTCCCTCTCCCATCTCACAGACAGTGTCTGTACCCCAGGGGTGGGCTGACACAGTGCGGATTATTTTACTTCCTGGTTAAATGAATGTTATAAAGGAAACGGTTCATTGCCAGAATATTTTGATTCAGTTTAGCGTACACTTTCCCACTGCTTTAGAACCTTCATTATTCTCTTGTGGCCCTGGGTTGGAATTAATCTCCTGCCAGTCCATGGAGATGAAAGATGGGAGCCTTCCTTCCTCACTCTCTGCTCTGGGAAGCAGGTGTCCCCGGGCCCAGTTGGACATTCATTATGTGTGCTGCGTATTGCACATGTGTTTCTGGAAACAAAATTTTGGAAGCACATTTAAATAAATCACAGTAGATTCATATTACGGATCAATGCACAGTCCAAAAGAATGAGATAAAAGGAAGGTGTCCATGTCATATTGTCAAAGTGGAAGGCAAGGTGTAGAATAATAGAGTATAGGCCCTTGTGGCGATTGAAGTCTTTCAGCCATACTCTATGGTTTTCATTCTCTTTGTTCATGCATGAAGAAAGGGTAGGAAAGATACACTCCTAGCTCCTTAGCTATTATTCATTGGTGTGTCTTGGTGAGAATCTTTTAACTTATAAACTTTGTTCATTGAGTTTTACTTTTATACTTAGAATTTATGACTCATTGTTTTAAAAAGGAAAATTATCTTTATGTTGTCTTTGATATGCTCAGGCTTGAATCTGCCATTTTATTTTTTGTTTTCTGTTTGTTCTTTCTCTTTTTTAAAATCTCCTTTTTCTCCCTGTTTCTCTGTGGGTCTCTTGGGGATCTTTTAGAATTTTGTTTTGATTTGTCTACAATAGTCTCAGTGTGTTTTTGTACACATTTTTTTCAGAAGTTGCTGTAGGTATTACATGTATATAGTTATTTTTGTACTTTATCTGCTGAAGTAAAATAGAACTCTTACTGTTTTATTCTTTTCTTTTTTTATTTATATATTAATTGGTACATTTTAGGTATACAATACACTTACATTTATCATTGGGTGCTTGTACCTGAACATGATGTATCTTAGTTCTTAGTTTTTTCCCCATTACCTATGTGCCTTTCACCCCTCCACCCTTCCCTATTTACATAGACTTCATTTCCATTTTTGTTTTCTCATAATTTTTCCTTTCCTTTTTTCCCTTTCCCCTTCCTCTCTTGCCACCCCTACACCTTTGGACCTTTTCCTATTTCAAATTATCAATTATTTGTTTTAATCATTTTCATCCTTATTTACACTTTCCGTTTCTCACACTAGAGAAACTATTAGGTATTTACACATGTGTGTCCTACTTATTTCACTTAAGAGTATCTCCTCAATATGCATCCATTTAGCTATAAATGTCTCTAGTTTCTCATTCTTTATGGCTGAGTAGTACTCCATTTTATAAAAATACCACATCTTCTTTATCCAATTTCCAGTTTTTTTTATTCCTTTCTACCTCACAGTTTTAAGACAACTGTCTTCAACATTTCCTCTGTGTATCCTGAAAACCCCTTCAAAGGGTGTGAAAAGCTTTTCTTCAACACTGAAACGTACTACAGCATCTCGAGAGGATGGAAATGTATTGAATTTATCTGTGTTTTTCCTGTTCCCATGTTCCTTTATTTTTCCTATGCTCTAGAACGTCTTCCTTGGTCCAAGAAAGGAAAAGAATTAAGTAGAATGGAAAGAAAAACATAGTATTTTATGTTGTGTACAAGAAAATCAATG